CACTGGGAAATTCAAGCATACACATTATCTTGTTGGCACAGAAATAGCCCTATGTTGAGATACTGAGATTTTTTATTCATGAGGAGTGCCTTAATCCATGAGAAGATGACTATGCTGTGTTTCGGATTAGTTTAAAAAGATGGTCAGGAGCACATTTCTTGTACATAGATAACTTATGAAATATTTATAAATACGAAATTCCACAACAAGAAGATTATCTTCTTCTCTTTTCATGTAGCATCAACGTCAGAGGAGTAAGTTAAAATCCTGTTACTTAATTGCCTAAAATAAAATTCTGTTCTCATATTTCCTGGTTATGAAAAATCTGACTAATAATCCAGATAGAAACCCACATTCCTGCTAATGTATTCAGAAGATTCAAGGCTGTCACACAGCTAGGCATTTCTCAAAAGGCTGCTCAATTTTGACATTTCAAATCTTCTAGAAACAGAAATGTAAGTCTTCACATTACTATCATTTTAGTTTTAGCCTAGGGTTCTGAAAGGTGTAGCACATTTAGTTGCGGAAGAGTGTTTCACACACTTTCCTTCATTTTCCTAATGAACAGCCTCAATTAAATGTCTTTTACTGACAAGCCCCGGCGGTCAACCCCATTCTCTATTAATAATTTTGCTGCAGTTTCTGCAGTGTCATTAGATACCATTAATTGTCCAATTTATAGCAGTAGGTTCTCTAAAACACTGCGAACCTAGCAGGTACCTAATTATTAATCCAAAGCTAAATCCTACTGTTAAAATTCATCAAAACATTTATTCCACTGTAAATATTTGCTGTGGACAGTAATCAAGCTGCTGATCTTTAGTTCTTCATCCCACTATCAATTGTTTTGGCCCACTAAGACAAAGTGCTGCTATTTAAAGGCAAAAGGAGCCTATTAACCGTATGCAGGAAACAACTTTTTAAAGCATGTGTTCACATCAGTACTCTGCACCCAAGGATTATTTATATCAGTTGAGGAAAAAAAAACAAAAACCAACAACCAGAAGAGGAGGTTTCTGTGACCAATTAGAACTAACTAGCACTACTCAAATAGTGAATAAGTAATATTTACTACGCATTAAAAAGCTTGCAAACCAGAATTTATTCCTAGACCTCGGTAATTATTATTGAAAGACTGCTGATTTCAAGAGAATACTGGACTCCTGTACAAACTAGAAAACAGAAAAAATGATGTTGAATTACTTAGCTATGGGATAAGAGATGAATTATTTACTAAGCTTGATTCATGTGCAGAATTCCTCATAGCGAAGCTTGCAAATCAGGTAATGCCACACAATCATGTGATTCCTGATTTCATATGCAATTACTTCAATACCTGTACTTATAATATTTAAAATTACAAATTTGATATGTGTATTTACATATTTTATACAAATACTTAATACATTCTTAGAGTCCACATAGATACTTAATATTCTAATACCTAATTTTTATACTTCAGTAATAACATATGACACAAAGATAAGGCCATACGCCAATTACATTTGTTTTTAGCTGATTGCAGAATAGCATTGCAACTGTTTTTTTTCCTCTCATTTGTAAGGCATAGATGATAAAGTATTAAAAATGAGTTATTTTTTGCTAATGCTAGACAATATGATGGCTGCTCCAAAAGTAACACCTCCTAGTTTGCCCATAAAGTCAGAGGCAAATGTTGGTGAGATGGCAGTAAAGGCTGAACCTTCCCACCATTACATTTTGCTGCCATGTGACAGATGGTGGCAGAGGGGCAGTCTGACAGAATGGTGTCAGGCATAGAGGTGTATATGGAGCAAAAGCGTGTTACAGAATTCCTCCATGCGGAAAAAAACCACACATATGTGCATGTTAGCATGTGAGGCAGTGGGTGGTGCATTACAGCAGCAGTGACATGAAATATAAGACATCTTCCAGACAGCCATACACAGCTGCCACATCACAAACTGAAGACCATCTCTACAATCAATGAATGTACACATGTTATAAGTATGAAATATTCCAGAGAGTTTGGCTACGCAGTTATTATACCAAAACAGAATAGATAGAATGCTTACCCATATCATGGGCTCGCTATGAAACTCCAGAGAGGGGATCTCCAGAAGAGATCCTTCCCCACAGGCAGTCAGCTCTTTAATGGGTCAAGGAGAGGTGCAACCTGGCTCCAACCCTTCCTGCAGCACAGGTGAATTACCTTCACCTGTGCTCCTGTGGCTGACTCAGTGCTCGCTTCAGGTGATCAATCAGAGCTTCAGGCCATGATTCAGCAGTTCCCATACAGCATCTCAATCAGCTCATCCACAAGAATCAGAGAATTACAATCAAGGAACTGTGTACAGACCTGAATATGGGATTCAACACATTGAAAACAATGATAGTAATGTTGAAATATCATAGAATTCTTTGAGTTTGACACTTGAAGGTCATCTAGTTCAACTCCTCTGCAATGAACAGGGACATCTACAGCTTGATCAAGTTGCTGATCCCATCCAGCCTGAACTTGAATGCCTCCAAAGACAGGGCATCTACCAGATCTCTGAGCAAACTTTTCCAGTGCCTAACCACTCTTACTGTAAGAAATTCTTCCTTATATCCAATCATAATATCCCCTCTTTCAGTCTGAAACCATTTCCCCTTGTCCTGTCACAGCAGACACTACTGAAGAGTCTGCCCTGCTCTAGACACTGAAAGTTGCTATCAGATTTTCCTATTGCCTTCTCATCTCTAGGTTGAACAACTCCAGCTCTCTCAGACTGTCTTCACAATTATGAATTGTAAAAAATACCACAAAGTTTGGGCCAGGTAAGTCACACAGAAACCGAAAAAACATCATATGCAATTTTGTCAGCACGTATTGAACCAACTAGATGCTAAAGGTGAGAAGTTGCTTAGATTGCATCATTACTAATGAGAGGATGTGGTACTACCCCTATCAACCAGAGTCAAAAGAGCAATCCAAAGAATGGTAACATGAATTCCACGTTGAATAAATAGTTCAAGACACAGCCCTCAAAGGGTAAAGCAAAGTTCACTGTTTTTTGGGATAGAAAAGGGGTGGTGCTTCTGGATTTCCTGCAACTCAGGCAAAACATCAATTCTGATCAGTATATCACAACACTGGCTAAACTGAAGGCTCAAATTTCTGGAGTCAGGCCAGAGAAGAAGAGCATCTCTCTCGTGCAACATGATAACACCAGGACCCATACCAGCTTGAAGACTGTGGAACATACTGTCAGTGTTGGCTGGACTGTCCTACCACACTCACCATATAGTCCTGATTTGATACCTTCTGACTTCCACCCCCTTTGGGCCGATGAAAGATGGGCTACATGGTAACATTTTCCTAGAAATGATGTTGTCATAGCAGCTGTGAAACAGTAGGTCACCTTCACTGGTGCAGATTTATATGAGCATGGCATGCAGGTTGTTGTTCATTGCTGGTGAAAATGCATAGATAATAGTGGTGACTATGCTGAAAAAAAAATATTTCATAACGGAAAATTTGATCAAATAGCATTATTGTGCTTTGTTGTAGTTTCCTTGGAAATTAATAGGAGGCATTACTTTAAGAGTAACCTACATATATTTCAATATTCATTTGAGAGAGGATAAGAACAATGCAATAATGCATTGTTTTTTAATTAAGTTCTAACAGCAGCTACCTTGTTGCCCATATATATTCAATTGTTTACTAGCAAAATTATCTTCTGAAACATTTTTTTCTTCTCAATGTAGGAATGAACTTAAGAAAACTGTATTCAAAATTCAGAATTTCTGCAGATGGTTATTCACAGTCTCTTCTTGTTTGCTGTTTCTATGACTACTGGAGCAGCACTAATTTCTTCAAATTGAATGGAAATAGAATCTAATTTGTACATTTGAACAAGAACATGCGTGATCTTCACTGAAAGCTGTGCCAGAAAGAGCATATATACGTATCTATGTGTGCTCCCTTTCTCACTTTCTCTCCATATTTCACTGCAAAACTCTGGCATACGTATTCATTTCCAAAGATTTAACAAAACAGAACAAAGTACAATCAATTTTAACTACACATTTCATATGAAAACAAGGAAATATTAGCCAGAGAATTGTACTTTTCCAGACTTTTAGTATAAGCCATGAGATTTTTAGTGGGACAAAACAACAAAACAAAAATGATAATAAATACACTCTGTCTTTCTGGGAGGATTTTCCATGTATTGCTGTGGCTTTCAGCTTACACAGTATCCTTTAGTATCCTTTTCCCCCTGTATCACTTAAACCCATCATTTCATTTGAATTCTGTGAACATAACACAAGGAAGCACTGATATGTATGTGCAGACGTGAGATTATGACTTGCTGTATTGATTTCAATAATAATAATAATCATGTACTTGAACAATGTCTTTTCCAGCAAACCCTGTTCTTTTTCAGCAGAATATGGGGATCTCAGTCACAAGAGATCCAAACATACCAGAAAATGAGCTCCAAGTTAACACAGCCAACTAGCTTCACCTTCTTTTCAAGCCAGCTGGCTTACCTGCACAGTTTCCTTTCAGGTATTGATGAATTGACATAAAATGTGTCTGTTAAATCAACATTTTTCAAAGCTCTACTGGTCTGCTATAAACATTATGACTGGATTATTGTTGAGTACCAGAAAATAAATCAGAATTTAATTTTCTGATTTGAATCAATATATGAGTGGATTCATTATTTTTTCCTTTAGGCATTCTCCCACCCTGGTTTTTCTATGTCAGTTTACTTCTTTCCTTTGAAAAATCATCTTCTTCAACACGGTGAAGGAATTTTCTCCAGTTTTCATTCCCCTCAGCCAACATTCAATGCTAAACATCATTCGGCCACCCTTGGAGTCTGACCAGGTACTCTCATCGTTTAGACATACAAAAAAATCTTCTCTGACTTACAGTGATCACTGAAAGATATTTTCTTCCTTAACTTCTAAACCACCAATTTGATGCCTAAGTCAGGTAGCAACATGAAAATAGGCTTGCTTACCTTTCAAGTTGTCCTTAGAAGAAGAAATGTCAAAGCTAATTATCTCAAGAAGTTTGCATTCATGTTTGAAGGAACAGAACACTTTGAGTTCAATCAGTTGTTTTGAAATTACTTCTAACACAGTCCAGGGTAAACTAAAAGCAAAAAAAAAAAAAATTATTTAATTTAAGAATAAGTAAAAAAAATCACCTTAGTTAGAAAGAACAATGAAAGGTACAGTGTATACATTTTCCAAGCACTTGTATGTCTGAATAAGTTCTATCGGTAGGCTTCTCTTACGGAATCAAATTCAGTTAATATGCTAACAGATTTTTCATAGCATTCCTAATTGAAGGCATGAAATTCATTCTGCCTTACATCTTCAAACTATGTTTACAGAAAACAAATCAGGGAGCCTGAATTTTATCTGATTTTGGAAGAACTAAAATCAAGGTCTCCTGTCCTCCATTCTTTTCCTTCTCCTACCACCCTATTATTTAGCACCCAAACATCGAAGCAGGACTTACAAACCTTTTCTTTTTATCAACCTTTTTCTCTCATGTGCCACCCTCTGTTTTGGCAATGCTCACATAATGGCTGAAGTATTTTTCTCTGTCTGCTTGACGGACAGAAAACTCAGTGATTGCAGAGCTGTCTTCACTTTATTATGTCCATCCATCAGTTTTATTCAAACTAAGAGGGAAAAGCAGTATTTGACAAGAAGTGTTCCCACAAATAGTCTGATCACTTATTTTAAGAGCTCAGAGGAGAAACTCGTAGACAGTACATAACCACATTTTTAACCACAGTGTAGTTCCCTAAAACCTCTAAGCTTTTGAGTCTCAATCCAGCAAACACATGTTTATATTATAGGAATGATCATAATTTATTTTAGTTGTACATGTCAAGTATCTTTTGTTGGATTGGCAGCACACTTGCTACCTACCTTTTTCAAAATCTTTTTGTCTTGTTATTCAAACAATTCTTAAATCTGGCTATTCTTTGGAGAATAAATCAGATAAAAGATAACTACTTGCTTTAGGGAAGAGTAAAGCCATTAGGTTTGCCTGTATTACATGCAGTACATAGAGGCCACTAAATGCATTCTGGTGTAACATTTTTTTGATACAAACAAATATTTTGCTGGTACAGACTTACTTCTGGCTCAAGGCCTAAATGTAATTATGGCTCTAGGGTACAAATTGAATAGATTACTTTAAGCACTGCACTGCAATTGTAACAGAGACTGACACCAAAAGAAAGGTAGGAATCCTGACAGATGAAATACAAGACCTTCTCAGTCAATAAAAGTCTATGGTAGGCATTGCATATGGTTTAATTGTACAACAGCTAATGAATGTGGGCTGGATTTTAGGGGTTTTAGGTTGGTAATTTTTTAGAGGGAAGTTGGGTTGTGTTTTTTTTTGTTGGTTTTTTTTTTTTTAGAGGGTGGGAGGAAATGTTTGTATTTTGTTTTTTGGAAGTATGAAATCTTTTTGATGTGCACAGCTAGCCTCAGATAATGGCCAGCTAACCAACAAGTTGTTATTTTTAGGAAGCATACTGCACATAACTGGTTCAGAATATTAGAGAAATTAATGAATTGAAACACTACTGAAGATTACTGAAATTATATAATGTAATATTGTATATAAGTATTATTATACATGGCAAAATGCTGGAGACAGGAAAAGAAGATGGAGAAGTTTTCACTGCAGCTGTTGTTTATTCCTACATCCTTCCTTTTGGTCATGGATGGTTATGTGATCATGTGCAACAGAGCTGCTCTTATTTTCTTACACAGTGTTGAAAAGGAATTAACACACTGCTCTCTGATCCTAGGAGTTGTCACAGGACCTCTGATTCAGTAGCCAAGTGTCCTCTTCCCTGATCTCTCAAAATTCCAATTTCAGTTCAGTTTTTTAAAACGAACATTTATAATCAGGGGGAAAAATAGATTCAATAATTTTACCACTTATGCTCGAAGCATTAGCAAGTAACAGCTCATAACTAAAATATTCAGGTCATTGTTATTAAACTAAGTAGCATTACTCTCAGAGTGCTGGCAGTTGTGAAGTATGCAGCAAGAATTTTTTTCTACTATCACACTTAGATTTCTTACCATGATTTATGTTTTTAGAATCAGAAAAGGAAACATTTTAAATTTTGCATTCTTCAAACTCTGTCTTTAAAGAAGCTATGTATCTAGGGATGCAGCTATGTAGCATGTATCTCCTAAATATTTCCTGCAGTTCTTACTGTCAAGCTCAGTTGTAAAGCGTCTGCAATTAACTAAAAAAAGGTGGTTTTTTGTCTTACAGTCACTTATTTAAGAATCTGCAGCTCAGCTGCGCTTTTAAAATCCCCATCTGATAGTCCATAAAGATTAGACATTTATAAGAGCTTTCACGTTACATTTTTCTTCCATTTCTTGCTAATTTATATTTTTGCTTTGCGTAGAAACATTTGAAATAATGATGCTGTTGTTCAGAGTAAGGATTTAACTTCCAGAAAAGGTTGTGTGGTTGTATTCACTGAGGAAAATGCATGATACCAAAACCCAGGAAAGAATAAAGAAATTTCATTGAGATTTATCTTTCTGCACTCCAAAATATCATTGTGTCTGCAGTTCTCAGATTATTTCAGGAAGAGTGCCAGCATCATAAAATACACGAAACAATAATGAGAATCTCCCTTGGCACTGTGGTGGCACCTTAAATTATTTTTTATGAACTAGGTAGGCTTCCAAGATTTCCTCTTCAGAAATCCCAGCCAATACTCAGATTGAACAAAATCAAGCTTGGCTCAGTGGCAAGCAATTGAAGTCTTGGGAAAAGAGAATTAAGTTTCCTTCCCCTTTTCCAGAACTCTTTTGCTTAATAGCACAAACCCATAGGACCCAGATTGTTTGCTCACAGTCACACACTTTACAATAATCTGTGGGAACCATAGGAGCATTTAACTGTTCTTCTCCATTAGTCAGCATCCTAATCCCAGATTTCTCTAGCTTTTCTTCATTAACAAATTTAAATATAAACAGCTTTTTCACCTTTCCTGTCTTAGCAGCTTCAAAGTTTGAAGGACAGACAGACATTTTTTAAACTAAAATTTTGTTTTAAAAAGAGGCAGTAGTAAATACATGGCTAGAAAGCGAGAACAAAATAAGCTGGCATTTGTCCATGTCAAACATAAACAGGGAATAGTGTACACTGCATTCGTTTCTATGCTTGCCACAAGAAAGCGAAGCCAGCATTTCAATGTTTGCCTCTGCAGGATAGCAAACCACACCAAAGGAAGACTGACACATGAGGGGTGTACAAGCAGGACTCCATCACCTGCGGCATGTTCAGAATCATCAAAACCAGATAATTCCAACACATTTCCAAAATAATAATGAATGCTGCAGCAGCAACTTGAAAAGGTCTTCCTGCTGTTATGTCTGTGAATGAAACATGCTTTCTGTATTATTCTCAGACTTTGAGACAGAATTGTGCATTTCCTAAATGAGTAGAAGGCTGAAGATGTGTTTGTTCTTAAACCTACTGCAGAAATGAGGAACGGCTGAGAACAAAAAACCTACACTGGACTGGATGATCTTATAGGTCTTTTTCCAACTTTGGTGATTCTATGATTCTATAAATTAAGAGTTTCCACAAAAGCTTATATGTAGCTCCGTAGTGCCCTTGGATGTATTTATTACATATAGGATAATAAACAGAACTATAATTTCATTGCAATCTTCACCAGATAGCAAATAAGGGATGGATTAAAGTTCTTGTAAATAGTGAAAAATGTATTTGAGCTCAAATACAATTAGCTCTGAAAAAAAATAAGTTTGTTATCAGAAAAGCATGCATTAGAAAACCTTATCTGCTCCCACACACTGAGTTCAACAATAACAGTTTTGATTCTCATCCCGATATTTAAGATTTTTCTAGAGGCATCAAAAAGAAGCATAATTGTGGATTTAGGATTAACTATAAATTATAAGGAGATAAGGGAAAAAGATTTCATTTTACTATGAAATAAAGAGGAAAATTGGCACACCAACCAAGAGAAAAAATGACCTGGAAACCGAAATGAAAAAGGTATACGTAGTTTTCCTTCTTTTTTTTTTTTTTCTTTTTTTTTTTTCATTCAGTATTTCACTAGAAATGTTCTTCATTCTTCATAATTATTCAAGATATCCAGGGATCTGATGGATCCAGACAATCAACAACTCAAAACAGCGAGTTTCTAGAAACTTCTTTGCAATTGCTATTATGAGCCTGGCTGCTACATAGCTTGGGGGGAAAAAAAAATAAAAATCCTTCCACTTATTTTGTCCTTATTTTAACCTCTCCGAGGAGATAGGCCTATGTGAATCTGAGTCTCATAACTCCTTTAATAAGAAATAAGTCACTATGGGGAAAGAGGCAATATGAATTAGACAGGAACAAGGATGGGAAGAAATACAAAGCTGCTGAAAATTTGAAATTCATACTAAAAATCCCTCAGTCTGCAAAGATATTTATTGAAAGTGCACATCATATAATTTAAAAGTCAGCTCATCATTAAATCAGTGTTATGTAATGAAGCACATACTAATTTTTCTAAACCATATGGTATTGGATGCTTTGTTCACAGATTATCAAAACTGGAATATGCTTGGTTCAAGGTTTTCTCTGACATTTTCTGCAGACATTTCACAACCCATAAACATCAACTATCGAAGTGCACTTACATCACCTGTGCCACTACCAGCATTTGTACTTAGCAGTATTCCATTTTCTATCTTGCTCCAGCTCTTTCCCCTTTACTCCACATCCTCTTTCTTTGATTCTCTTTTAATTCACAAGGGAACATATGAGAAACACTATGCTATCATGTCATATTAAACAACATTTTAAGAGCTTTCCAACTAAACAATTGCTGTGGGTTAGTGCTACTTTCAAAGACTGTTAGGTTCCCAGCCATCCATCTCACCCTGTGCAGGAAATTACTGCCTTTACATCAGAGCACAGCAACATGTATGCATGCAACCTTGATGGCTAAGTTCATGGCAATACATATTAGTACCAGCTTAAATGATAATCTGAGAATGACACTGGCAGAAGTACTGGCACACAACTCACTCTTCTGGGGCAGAACTTTCTGACAGAGGACTGGGATG